GGGGGAGGGGGGGGGGAACGTACGTACTTTATCGATGATCCCCTATTTCCCGACACCCCGTGGTCACGGGTAGTCACGGTTCACTTAGGGCCGTTCCCTGGAAGCTGGCTGGCTCTAACGGCTACTCTAACGTAAGCTGTCCCCCCGCCTGTTTTCCGACACACCGTGGTCACGCCTCATCTTTGTGACCACGCGTAACCACAGGGAGCCGGAAAACTCCGAGGGAAAAGGCCTAGGTCATGCGTGACCACCCGTGACCACGGGGTGTCGAAAAACAGGCGGGGAAACAGCTTTGACCGTGGTGTGACCACGTGTGACCAGAGGCAGCTGGAGAGCTCACAGGGAACTGTCCTGAGTGAGTCGTGACCACCCGTCACGCCCCCTAGAACGGTTAGGGTCTCGTTGCTCCTGGAAAACCTGGAGATACTTTCGTCCTTTATAAGGCAAAACCCAAAATGCCATCTCTGTAATTCAAATCGTAGCCCGTCCACGATTTTTCAAAGTGAGGTCTGCGCGTGACCATATAGTGGTCACGCCGCAGGGAATGTGTTAAAAGGAGGCTCGAGTCCCAATTTTTTCGTGGGAACTTTTTTCGATTATGGCATTGTAGCGGCGCATCCTTCATCTGCATTGTATCAAAACCTGAGATCGATATCTGCAACGGTGTGGCTGAAATCGAGAGACAAAGGCCCAAAGTGTGGCTTGGTAAGCTGTTTTCATTTCAAGGCACAAAACGGATTTTTTTTTCTGAGCTGTAACTGGTCGAGAGCAATCGACCCTGAAAGGGAGGGGAACTACGAAATACAATCCCGTTTATAGTTGCAAGAGAAAAATATAAACTTTTATTTTTTGGATGAACTAAATAAAATCATCAAATAATACAACTTTCAACGCAACGTCTTATGCTGAAAACAATAGGGCTATGGCTATATATCTAATCAGATAAATTACAGTTCTCAGTAACACTTTTTAATAAAATAAAAAATTGTAAAGAAACATATCTTTATTATAATTAATAACGAAAAATATAAGAAATATTTTAAATAGGAACTAGATTCTCTCCGCACGACTGCTCTTGTTTTTAAAACTTATACAGTTGTCGACTTGTTTGATAAATAAAAACAATTTTTCGTAACTGACCAACCCCATGTGGGCATTTTCATGATCAGAAAGAGCCACCTGGTTCGACGTTTCAAACGAACAAACCCGGCAAAGACGCACTTCATCGTCCGACTCAGGGTCGCACTGGTGCTGGATGTTGCTGTGCATTCGCAGCTGTAGAAGCGTCCCGAAGATTTTTCCGCATACAGCGCAAATGAAGCTGCCAGATTCCGCATTTGTCAGCTCTGCTATTTGACTAGTTTCTGTTTGGGGATGTGTATTTTCCACTGCTCCAGGCAAATCCCCGTTTTGGGGGAGAATGGAGTCTTTCTTTGAACACGCTAAATCGACGGTTGGTTGTTCGATTGTTTGGGGCTGAGGGTCCTTCTCGTTACAATCTCCGTTTGTTGGAGGATTAAGGTCTTGCTTCGATGAATCTCCGCTCGTTTGGGGATGGAGGTCTTGCTCCGATGAATCTCCGCTCGTTTGGGGATGGGGGTCTTTATCTTTACAACCCGGGCTTGTCAATGGTCGGAGGTCTCTCACTGCTGCAGAGCACGAATCACCGCTCGTCAGCTGATTTGGGTATTTATCTTTACAATTATGGTTTGTTAAAGGAAGGTCTTGCACTGCAGAGGACGAATCCCCGCTCGTGAGAGTAGGGGGTCCTTCATCTTGACCCTTACAGCTGGCTGACACGATTTCAGACAAGGTCTCGGACTGAGCTTGTCTCTCGAGTATGTCAGGCACAGCAGCACTGCATCTTCGCCGATGTTCTTTCCGCACGCTTGGTTGCTCTTGAAAGTTTGAAAAAATGTTACCCAAGCTGGCTGAACGCGGATATCGCTCATAAGGCTTCAGGTTTTTGCCAAACTCTGCAAGCTCGTCAAGAAGGCTCCTACAGATGTCTGCGTCGGAGGAGGGGGAGTCACTGGCATCTTTGCTTGGCTCTACTGAAGGGGTTGGTAGCGCCTGTTCCGGTTCATTACCTTCACCCTTTTTTGATGAATCGTTAGATGGCGTCTTTTCTCCGATTTCCTCTGTATTGATGTTGGGTGTCTCTATTTGAGTTTTTTCTGCAGGTGTCGGTTGTTTGCCCTCATTTAGAAGGCAGCCTTTCGCCGACGGGTCTACATCTGTATTTTCTACAGCATTAATGATGGACGTCGAATCAATGTCTTTTCTTTCTTGTTCAGTCCCAGAGTTTTTGTGAAAATCAGAATACTGATGGGGTACGGTGTCCGCGGCAACTTTTGTTTCCAGAAAAGCTCGGTCAGATGTGGACTCGCTACTATTAGCACCAACGGTAACGTTGTGACTATTACTAGTATCGTTTATACATTCTCTTGATTTGCTGTTAATCAGAGATATGGTAGATTTGGGTTCCGGCAAACTGCTCATTGAGTCACATTCTTCTTCGTCTTTAGAAGTCCTCTCTTTCCCCACCTCTCCACACGCACTATCATCCGGCGTGCTCACTAAAGTATTCTGGGTGATTTCAGTGCCTGTGTCAACTTGCATCTGATCACGCTCGATACCGCAGTTCAGTAGGCTGGACGCATCTGGAGCAGGTGCATGCGAGTCTTTAACACGGCCGCCGATGTCGTCCGGTAAGCTATCCACGGCTACGTCTTCAGTGTTCTGCGACTGAGTTATTTGAGAATCACAACCAGTATTCTTTGATGTGCAAACACTATCAGAACAAACTTCTGGCTCTAAAACAGTATTCTCCAAATATTCGGTTTCTCTACTAATTGCCAAGTTTGGCAATACTTTAGGGGCAGTCTGCTCATCAATATTATTAGACTCATCTTCCAAAGTCGACAGGACCTTGCAATCTTTTTTTCTGTCAAGGTCAACTTCTTCTGTTTTACTGACACCTATCTTTTTTAATGTGGCAATCTTTAGAGTGGAACTTGAGGAAACGGTTAGGTCCGTTTCGTCACCTGTAGAGTCTTCACCGACTTCGTCCACGACAGCGAAGTCTTCCCCGTTCAGGAAGACAGTTACGCCATCGTTGCTGCTGTCGTCCGAGCACTGCATGTCGGCCAGTGCCTTGTCTACCACCAACTTTTCAACGATCTGCAATTCCGGTGCGCTCTTGACCCCAGTTTCATTACTCCTGGCTTCATCTGTGCTGACAACTGATGCAGGTTGAGTTTCATTGACTTTCTCCGTCTCGACAGAAGTCTCATCCGTCTCTTCTGTTTTAAGAGGAGAGGCGGGCACATCTGACTTGACGACAGGGGGTTCGAGATTATATGGCCTGTCACCAGATGTCGTTTCAATCGAATTAAGGGGAGGGTCAGGGTCATCTGACCTATTGGGTTTCTCTGGCGTATTGCCTGGCGGTGAACTGGTGCTGGGCACTGTGGTCACCGCTGTATTATTAGAGAATACTCTGGGTTTAGGGGGGACAACGGCCAACGGCTTCTTCGGCGGGGCGACGGCCGTCTCAACCTGTGGAGTCCGCTGCAAGCGAGCCTTCAAGTCCGCGCGCACTCTGCGGCAGTCGGTACACCGGCACAGCCGGAACATGCACACATCTCGGTGGTGGCTTTTCATTGGAAAGTGCCAGTTGTGATTGAGACAATATAGACAATTATCCAGGTTAGTGCGGGCGCGTTTAGGGTCGGACGATACACCAGCAGATGCCTTCCGCTTGCGAGTCTGCTCCTTGGATTGTACATTTGATTTGGTGCTCGTAACTGTGCTCATCTTGGTGACAACGAGCCCGTCTTCAGTCTTGCTCTGCTGAGATGATGGATTTTCTACAGTTTTACTTTGCTCTGTGTATTCTTGCTCGCGTTGACCTGGTGTCTGCTTCTCAAACTGAGTCTTCTGCTCCTTGGCGGGAGTTTCTTGCTTGTCCAGTCCCTGGCGCCGCCGCTCGCCAAAGCATAGTCCACAGGAACAGCGACTGCGGAACTTGCAGAATTTTGCGTGTTGACCGATGTCAAACACTTCTGCGCCGTGCAATTTGCAAAAAACGCAGAAGTTGGTGGCACTACCTTTAGCGCGTACTTCCTCGTTTTGAGCAGAAGACTGCCTCTCGGACTGGTCCTTCTGCTGGTGCGAACCTTGGGCGGAGGGTTGCTCCTTGGCGGGAGTCTCTTTCTTGTCCAGTCCCTGCCGCCGCCGCTCACCGATGCAAAGTCCACAGGAGCAACGACTGCGGAACTTGCAAAACTTGGCGTGCTGCCCTGCGTCGTACTCCTGCAACCCGTGAAACTTGCAGAAAACGCAGACGGCGCCAGTCCTGCAGTGAGAGCAGGTGCATGCGCCATACCTGCAGTTGGCTGTGTGCCGCGGCGTCGCGCGCGCACTGATTCCATGATTACTGCACTTCGAGCAGAATTTAGAGCAGAACTTATTGGCGTCGCATATCTGACAAGATTTGCATCTATAGAATCGACATACTCGAAGATGTCCCTGGCTAAAGAGGCTCCACTCGCCGTGTCTCTCGCACCACGTGCATTGCGACGGCATCGTGCTCCTGCGACAAACAGAAATGTCTTGTTATCAACAAGGGGTGGCCAAAACAAGGTAAACACAGCCAGATAAATTTGACAAGCCCGTTGATCAATGATACTTTGCAAATCTATATGTGGAAGATACACTGCTAATCCAAATTAGAGGCGCACTTTTTTAATTGTGCAAAGTTGTTTGAGATAGAAAGCTCCGCTTTCAGCAAGGTGTCATCAACACAACATTCATCTTTAGGCTCATGGAGTGCGCAACCGTTACGCCACCCCTTGCCCAACCCCTTGAGTGGAGAGTGGTGAACATGAACGTTAGCCACCCTTCATCCTCTAGTGAGGGGGTGCGGTTGTCCCCAGGAGTAGTCGCCCGTCGCCCGGTTAAAGATGTTGACACCGTGTTTTACCGAATGAATGTCCTTAATAGAAAACGAAGGTCCTATTTTATCCGTAGTTGAACGACTGAACCTATTTCGGATCAGAATTTTATATTCCCACCCTAAACAAAAGCACACGGGTTTTAGAACAATCGCGTAGGAAGGCACCAAAAGTTGCGTGCGGCGGGCTTGCCTACCGTCGCTCCGCACGGCCCCTTACGGCCCCATGTGAGTATGCAACCCGCCCTGTATGTTCATAAATTATACGTCACAAAATCAACAACAATATATAAACAAAAAAGCCTTGGAGTCATTTTTCTTTTAATCATAAAATATTGCTCGAAACTGTAGAATAGGAAATTTTCTTAACTACGGGTCCGTTTATGGTTAACAAGAATTGTTAACTGTTAATTGTTATTTGTTTTTACTATATTGATTTTAGAAGCAGGAACAACAGTGAAACTAGAATAGCTTTAGATATTTTAAAGATACATTGGATCCGAGGACAATTATGTCGATTTAGAATGTGCTGTTTCGGGGGGGTACTTCCCCTCTCATTGTCCGATTTGGCGCCTCGCGCCTCCTTGTACGTCTCAATGTACAGCGTCGTCATTTACACCGTATTTTCGTCTAAAAACCCACTCTAGCGTCCAAACGGCGAAAGATAGCGCCAAACGGACAAAATTTTGGTCGAAAGGTGTCTACTAGAACGACTTGGAGGAGACGACAAGGCGTTTTGCTGGCGCAAAACAGGAATATGACGAATATACACTACGTGACCAGCGCCTGCCCCCCCCTTTCCCCCTCCGTGACCGACCGTAGTGCAAGGCTCCCCCCCCCCCAACCCCAAAATGAACTCCGTAGTGTATGGATGGCCCCTAAGTAAGTCCTGTTTTGCCCCCTTTTGGTACTTCTGGATGATTTGGAATAGGACCTACGGAGGGATTTGAAAACAGGGACTCTGCGAGGACCTTCGTTTTCTGTTAGGGGTGTTCCGTAGAACAAGGTGGATCTTTACTGAACTTTGCACACCCTGATTCCATCAATAAGTGTTCAAAATAACAGATTTAAAAAAAAGTTAAATGTTCGAGGGGGTAGTTCAGACAGGGGTGGCCCGGTCTCGGGCCCTTTATGAAAACACAAAGCGGGCCGTAGGGCACGTCCCGAGAATATGCCACACGAATTTTGCACCCCTCAAAACACACCCCTTTTAGGGTTGATGGGGGAGGGGGTGGGTTTGTCGGATCGAAATTTCGCGACCACCAGCCGACGGAGGACAAAAAGTTGAGCCGATCCACCATTAGAAACCGTTTTCTTAACACTCTCAATGATATTTTCGGACCTGTTGAGAGCGAATAAGTTTTCACCCCTCTCCAACTCAAGGGGTTGCGTTTGCGTATCCCTTCCCATAAGGGGTGGCGTCGTAACGATTGCGCACTCCGTGTGCCTCAAGATGAATGTTGCTGCCAAAGCACAGCACAATCGAAAAAAATACGCTGCTAATTTTGACTGGCAGTGTACAATAGAGGGTAGCGAAAAAAATGATTTGAGATATTAAAATGGCGGATATGCGGAAAAGTTGTCTTTTGGAACGCATTAGCTCTTATAGGGAAAATCGTCAAAAAAACATGAAAAAGTGAAAATTTAGGCTTCGTATCTGATGTTTTTTGAAAATCTGTTTTCAGAAATGCAATCTACGCCAAAAAAAAAGGCATCCAGTGATGTATCACACTTGACATTATAGTGAACGGGTTAGTTTCGGCCAGCTATCAATTTTAGACAAAATTGCATCAAATTGCACAAAAGTCATAAAATTTTGGCCGATCGCCCCCCCCCCGGGCGCAGGCGCCGGGGGGGTGGGGGAGGGGGGGCCCCCCCCCCCCATCGTCACTAGTGAGCCGCCTGTAAGGTAGGCAATTTGTACTACAAAACCCCTGTATGTAGGCAACCCAGTACACCCCCCCCCCCTGTCGCCCCTCTCTTACACCGCGCCTGGGAGCGGGGAGGTGGGAGGGGACCTCGGAGGGGACGGGAGAGGTAGGTACGGGTGGGCTACACTGTAAAAGCTAAACAGTACTATTTGCCTTGTACCCCTACGGAGGGGTATCGTTAACTGTTTAATGCGGACTGAAGTCACCGTCGTAGGGGTTTTTCACAAAGTACCCCTCCGAGGGGCTCCTCTGTACCCCTAGGTGTGTGGTGGGGTCAACCCGCACTGCATGTAGGGGTACACTGCTGACGGGTACTTTCTGGGCCCTCGCCGGGGTACAGGTAAACGCCATAGGGAGTGTGATTGTCACCCAGCTTGGGGTTCTGTGGTCCCCGTCGGACGGGGATTACTTTGCTCTGCTGATGGGCGGTATGGTGGAGGGAGGCACGCTGGCAAGACCCCTGCCTCTCCCCCCTCCTCCCCCCGTAGCCCGGCGACGAGGCAGGTCTGTAGGAGACAAAGGCTGGAATGCCTTGCACCGCCGGCAGCGCCCGCCCCCATGTGGCTCCGTGGCCCAGTAAGTTACGAACGAAGCATGAGCGCTGAGTTGGCATGGCCGAGGTTCTATTCCCGGCACTGCCTGCTACACGTGTATCTTGCGGCTATGTAGTAACCGAACCAACCATGATGACAGCCTACCAAGTTAGTGATGTGAGGGGCAGAGGGGCCTCATTACGTCGTGTGGGGGGCCTAGGCCAGAGACTAAACCAAGCCAGACAAAAAAAAACAAAAAAAAAACAGAAAAAATATTTTTTGACCCAACGTTTGCAAATGACATTCTGTAACATTTGGCGGGAAGTACACCGCTTTCGGCACCCTCCGCGGGCAGGCGCAAGAGGCCGCGGAACGGGAGTAGCCGTGCGTGAAGGAAGGGGAGACAGCCCCATCGGACGAGTACAAGCAGACCCCGCACTGCGACTGGGAGTCCCCGTGCGTGGAGGACAAAGAGACACCGCTAGGGGTACATTGAGCCTCGTCGGACGAGTACAGGCAGACCCCGATGTCGCCAGTGGCGGGCCGCCAACGAGTGAGAAATAACTCCTCGTGAGGGGAACGCTTGACCTGCCTAATGGGTAAGAGGTACCCCTCCGAGGGGCAAGATCCGGCCATCCACATAATGCGGACAGTAGTCACCCTTGGCTTTTACAGTGTAGTCTACCTTTTTAAAACTACGGGGCAGAGCGGCCACCCTGTACATCACCGCATACCCGCCATTTCAATATCTCAAATCCGTTTTCTTCGCTACCTTCTAGTGCATAAGATATGCGGGCGGCAAACATCTACTAAATTCAACAGTTGTTATTGAAAAACGGATGGGCTGCTTGGTCTTCCGCGAAACAAAAAGTTGATAGAAGTGATTCATGTAATTGACCATTTACCTTTATAACTTGAGCTGCTCCTCCTAGCACTTGTGGAATTATGCAGTCCGACAGAAGCATTTACCTGCAAAGTGAATAAAGAATATAGATTAGGAGCGAGAAGATGAGGGGGAGGCCCTACTGACTTCATCCACATTTTCGAAATTGCGATTTTTGACGGCCTTTGAGAGTTCAGTAAATGTTTATTCATGTCAAATTTGGTTCCGTGGAGATTAAGGTCAGAAAAAGCACCTGGTCGGATTTCTAAATCTAAAAGTTTGTCACAAGGAACTTTTGAGAGATACCTATGATTTCACTAAAATTGCCAAAAACTCGTTGGAGAAGGGAGATAGGGGAAGCGAATTTGTTTTTCTCTCTTTAAACCGTAAACAGGTTCTGTATCACGTGATATAGATTTTCGTACTCCCCCCCCCCTTTTGGCTATTCGTAACAAAAGATCAAAAGCTCAGTTCATAGAAATACACTGATAAATAACGTGTTCAACTGGCGTGCACATGCAAGTTCTCAACGTTTTCCCTGATGGGACAGACACGATGCGTCGTGTTAACCGACGTGTCTGATATCCGTCTGATATGACGACAATCCGACCAAAAAGGTCCAAAAATTGTCGTAACCGACCTAAACACGACTACCACACGTTGCATTTCGGTTAGACATGACAATAACGCATGACGAAAATACGACGTCGTGTATGCGACAGATGTCCGACATCAGCCACCCGGCCGTACGTCTAGCGTCGTATCTGACGAAAACACGACGTCGTTTTTTGCGTCGGACACCTGACGTCAGCTTCAGTGGCTAGACGACTGGGCTCCTAGGGTCGTATCGGACCGATATACGACGTCGTAGTTGTACGTCGAACACGTCGGCTTATCCCTTGACGACCTTATGCCAGCGTGCCGTAGCAGACCAATCCATGACGTCGTGTTTACGTTATATCTGACCAAAACACGACCCTTTAGCTCTCGCTGCTGATCCCCAACCGCGAATGAGTTAGACCCATCCGATGTCCGTGTCATCATTGCCCTGGGAACGTCGTGTTAGACGTCTGCCGCTCCGGGGTTATGATTTTAGTCTCTCGTAGATGAGCCTGGTGCTCATCACCCTCGGAATGAATAGTTGATACCGAGGGGGCAATAACTCCCTTTTGAAGTGTACACATGATTCCCGAAATTCTTGATTCCCGGTGATTCCTGTCCGCTTAGAATTATTACATAGGTTTTTCGGGGGGTTTTAGTGGTATATAACGCTTATTTCGACTGATTTGTACTTATTTCTCTAGTTTCCCGCTTATTCTAAGCGATTTCTATTGATTTTGATCAATTTTTATCCTGATGATTCCCAGACAGGTGTACACATGATTCCCGGAGTTATTGCCCCCTCGGTTGATACGTACATGCGATGATAGATCGAGTCGCGGACACATCAAGACGACATCGTGTTTTGGTCCGATACGACGACTTTCGCGAATCGTTGGCTCTCTAGACGTCGTATTTTGGTCCGAATGTGACGCGAATTAGACGTCGTATCGTCGTCGTATTGTGTCAAAACACAACTGTGACACGACGTCGCGTTTTCGTCATATTCTCGTCGTGTCGTCCCATCAGGGTTGATGCACACTTTTAAGTGTTTGGCGTGATATTTGAATACTATGCAGAGTTTAACAGTATAGTTGAACACTTAGAGGTGTTCAATACCAGGGTTGGCCATAAACCTTAGGACACTTCTGTTGAACACTTCAAAGTATTCAAAGTGTTGAGCACTTGCAAGTGCGCGCCAGTTGAAAACTGTATTAATGAGTGAACCTTCCTACTATTTTTCACAGTGCCTGGTCATAGGATAGGACCGATCCGGTTTCGACTCTAGTGCATTGCCATACACTGTTAAAACATATGTTGTAAATTTACAACACCAGTGCTGTAAACTTTCATAGCAACACTTTTTGTTTTGAAGCAACATATTTTGGAATTCAACAAGAGACTTTCTCCGAGAAAAAATCTTTTAAAACGATGTGCATTAAGAATTTGTAATAAAACGTTAATACATTACAATTATTTTTTTTAACAATAGCACGTGTTGCTAAGAAAGTTTACAATACAGGAGTTGTAATCTGAAGACATGGATCGTGCCCTATTCGCGATGTTGGGCAAAATATATGTACAATGGCATGATTTCGATTTTACGTATTCAACTGAAAACAACTATCTTGTTTTAAAACAGAACTGTCATTAGCAGAAATATCATTTATCCACAACTATTTTTAACAGTGTACACTGATAAACTAAGTGTTCAACTGCTTAACACTTCTAAGTGTGCAACTGTTAGTTAAATACTTGCAAGTGTGCAACTGCAAGTTGAATACATGCAAGTGTGCAACTCGGTAGGTGTGCACTTGCAAGTGTGCAACTCCTCGGTTGAACACTTAGTAAGCATCCAATCTAAGGAAGTGTGCAACCGAGGAGTTGCACACTTGCAAGTGCACATCTACCGAGTTTAATACTTGCAAGTGTACGACTACGGAGCTGCACACTTGCAAGTATTCGACTTGCAGTTGCACACTAACAAGTGTTGAGCAGTTGAACACTTAGTTTATCAGTGTACCGGGTGTCCAGGCTAAGACGTTCCAGTACGTTGGGTTGCATACGCGCTGGCTTGCAGGCGCTGTGGCCAGAGAGCGGTGGCGGGGCGAGACGGCTGCCCCCTCCACCGCCGCCGGACTAGAGTCGCTGGGGCAGGGGGTAGCGCTGCGGAGCGGGGCAGGCGTCCAGGTAGGGGAGGGGGTGCAAGATGGCAACACATCCCCGTGACTTCCCCATGTCATCGCGCTCACCCCCGCGAGTTCGCGGCCACCCTCGCGCTCACCCCCGCGACTTCGCAGCCAAAGTCGCGCTCACCCCCGCGATTTCGCGGCCACCCTCGCGACCTCGCGGCCACCCTCGCGGCCACCCTCGCG